GACTCGTCTCCCGCAACTGCGCCACCGGAGCCACCTCGGCGAGTAGGAGGTACAAACTGGTGAGCGGCACCGTTGGGTACCATATAAGCTGGATCCCGTCGCCGCACTTCACTCGAACAGTGAAAAGTCTGTCACAGCACTAAAAGAAAATAAGGGTTCTCCTGGCTCCTCTTACTGCTTTTAGTTGACCGGGACCAGGGGCGCACAAGGAAAAATACGATGCGCGCTGTCTACACGGATCACTTGTCGTCTGCTCGCGATGGTACGTCGCGGACGCCGCTGGGAGGCGCGCATGGCGCTCTGACGAGGCGTACGAGGCGTTGTTTTCACCCTTTTTGAACTTTACTTTGCAACTTTATTAGCTCTATTAAAATGACTTGTTAGAGAAATAATGACGGTTAACGTGTGATATACTTTATTTCGCTTCAAAATTCCTGGGACGGCTCTCGCCAATCACGAAACCCAGAGAATGTGACGTATAGTGAAAGGGAGCGCCGTTATGCGCGCGCATTCGGCACCTCACGGCGCCACCGTCGGAGGAGGGGTTTCCGAGTTGTCAAATTAAAATACGATGCGCTAATATTTTCAAACTCTTTCGTTGTCCACTGGGTTTCCGGGACCACTAGGGTGTAGAAACCGCAAAAAAAAGTCGACGCTCAAATACTGTTGGAGGGCCCCTTTAATAGAGAGTTTTAGTAAATCGTTCCCATGACTCCGATAACGATACCCGATACTCCGCCACCGCCTCCCTTGCGCATGCATAGTATTGTTATCGGGGCTATCGGAGGTATCAGAACGATCTACTAAAACTCTCTAATGATAGGCTCCGTGAACACAAAAATCAAAAGCAGTTGAGCTAACTCTGGCCATCTAGGCATACACTGCCATGATTGTGGGTGCGACGTTCACCTGTCTTCCTGTACAATTTTAGGAAGGAATAGTAACCAATTAATTAGAGAAATTATCGAAGCTGAACATATTGCCAGGAATTATAAAAACTGTATTAGTACACTATCTTTACACCTGACAGAAAAGACAAAAACATTTTAGGCGTCTGGGAGATCGGTGCGCGTGATTCGGGAAATTCGGTAGTGCAAGAGGTAGAAGAAGACAAAGTATATATAAAAACGAGTTATTAGTCAGCGCGGTTTGTTTGAATTTTGCTTTATTTTTTTTTTGTAAGCAGTGAGTGTTATTTGCTATAGACGCTTTACACACGCGCCAGATTGAACCGCCATAGCCGCCCTTCTCTTGTCTTACCGAGATGCCGAGCCACTGAAGCGAGCGTTGACGGGTCTTCACAAGGGCCTATGCTGGGCACAAGAACACAGTAGCATCTAAAATGGCAGTAACCTGTCCTGCTGTGGTAATCTTGAAGTGAAGCGAACGGAATAAGAGGGAACAAAAACTGAAGGTCAGTTATGGCGGCGCCCATGCACAGCTGCTACAAAGCGTCTATAGTGCGCTGTAGTGTGTGTGAAAATTTACTGTGTTCTTGATCGTTCACCGACTATAGGATTGCATTGTTCCGGAAGTAAGTACATCCCGCATTTGCTGTTCAATTTAAGTTTGTATTTTTGTTATGTGAAAGGCAAAGACAACCAACATCTCGAGCACTTTTCGGGCTAAGGTTTTACCGTCCTTGACACTTTCGCTTCCAGAGCGTCTGCTTATTGTTGGAAGAATATTTAAAGGGCAACTCCGTCCGAAACTCAAAATGAAATAAATTACTGGTGTCGCTGTAGTGCCACAAAATACGACCCCAGCCAAAATTTCACGTCCGTGGGACGCCGCATTCTCAACTAACGCCGATAATAAAAATGCGACCCGCCATGAGCCGCTGCTCCTTAGCGGGCGGCCAGCGGGTTGCCGATCGCTAAAGCAACATTGGGCCGTGATGTCAGTATCGTTCTCTTTTTTTCCTCCAGTCCGGGCGTTGCGCGGAGTGCGCTTCTTTGAGGGGCTACCACCGCTACTTCGGTTTGTGATTGGCGTGTTTAGCCGTTGCTTCCATCTGTAGCCCGTGTAGCTTCGGTATAGTCTTTTGTTCACGTGCTTGTGTGGACTCCAAGACTCGTTTTAGCGAGCAACTCGGTGGGCCCAAGACTGCCCAGCTGTTCTTCGAAAGATGCCGAGTACAACTTGTAGCGCTGTGGGCTGCTCACACAACCCACTGCGCAACCCGGAGGTGCTTTTTCACGAGTTTCGAACGGACCGCAAATTGGAGAAGGTGTGGGTGAACGCTGTTCGACGAGTGGACTTTGGACTTCGGCTTTTGCGCGCGCGAGGAAAAAAGAACGAAAAAACAGACGTGTACAGCCCAGCACACGTGTGTTCTGGAGCCGCGACCCACGCCAAAGAGCCTCAAAGCTTCGTGTCTGGGACTGACCTGCAGCGCGAAAGCGAGAGGGCCCACAGTACTGTACGTCACTGGCAGCGCGGCGTAGAGCAACGCCGCTCCATCCACGGAGCTCCGATGACAATTTAGGCCTAGCGACGAGTACGGAAGACCGTACGCACGGCGACAGCTGCCGAGTACGGCATCGAACGAGTTCACTCGTTTTTCAGTCGCTAGCTTCCGCGTATACAGGCGACGACTACGGCATAGCGCACGCACGGCGGTGGCCGCCGAGTACGGCACCGAACGAGTTCACGGGTTTTCCAGTCGCTAGCTTTTGGGTATACGCACTAACTCTTGCTACAGGTGCAAGGCAACTATCAGCTTACCTCCCATCTTTAGCTGGCTAGCGCAACAGAGGTAGGTGCCGCTCGGTTTGCGTACTCGTTGAACGGTAATGATCCTGACGTCACGTTCACATAGCGGCTGATTTCCAGTGTTGCCGGGGCCTCGAGCGGCTATAGTTTCGGTTTTGTTGGCAGCGCCCCAAACAAAACTTTGAGGCGTCATATCTTTAAAACTACGCACAATAACGAGAAAAGATTACACCTTGCAATTCAGGGACGTTGACTGCACTAAAGGCTGTCATAATCCCAAAATCGAACGTATGGACCGGAGTTGCCCCTTAAGTGTCAGACCTTAATTAGGAACAGTTGAAATGAAGATTGCTCACGGATACCTGTTCCCTTATGGTTTGAGTTCAAAACGTCTTTAAAAATATAAATTGAAACACTCAAATCTTCTTGCCTTTAGCATTTTTGACGAGGAGGTGGCTCATCAGCTGGACAGATTGCATCATAAGTTTTCGAGTTTTCAGGGTTGGGGGGCTTGGGAGGCAGAGTGAGGGCAGCGACGTCGGTGTCGAGATCGCGGGGAGTAGAGAGGGGAAAGTCGGGGTGCCTCTCTGATCTGTTGAGACGAGGGGTGAAGGAGGTGCCGTAGGGATGGGACATCACCTCGTCCGAGGTTCGCGAGTTTTCACGGCGTCTAGTAACCTTTTTTTGTATGGCATGAAACACGAAGTGAAAGCCTTCGCATTTTCAAACTTCTTGGTGTTAGCGTGGAGTGAAAGACGTAACACGGAGGGAGCTCCTCTTCAGGTTCGTAGTGGCGTGGAGTGGAGAGGTTAGTGTAGGGGTAAGGTGTGGCGTAATATTAACGTGGGGTAAACAGGCAGGCGTAGGGGTTCAGTGCGGTCTTTCTGTCGAGGTTTAGGTAACTGATGCGCCGCTCGCGTTGGTGTAGGTGACACGGGTCGTGCCGAGTGTACTCGTGGTCTGGAAACTCGCGAGACCGAGCTAGAAACCCTAATTTAGAGTTTTCACCAGGTTGTTTGTGTTCTTTTGTGACGTCCTTATTGTGATGAGGCTTAACTTCTAAATACCCAGCGTTCAAGCAATATGGGGGTGATATGTCTTCTGCCTGTAAAGACTGCGGCCATTAGTTTCTGGGATATTGTCGTTCAAGTAAGCATGAGGGCGATATGTTCTCTATTTTGAAGTCTGGGACCATGGGCTTCTGGGCCGTCGTCGCTCAAGTAAGTATGGGGGCGGTATGTCTTCATCGTGTAGAGATTGAGACCTTTAGCTTCCGTGCCATTGTCGTTCAGGTAAGTAATAGTTCGTTTTATTTCCATCAATGTACATCAATGGAGGAGACCAAGGAAAAACGTCCGTGTCGAGACAGCTTGACAGGTCCTTGGCCGCCTTATTAACGAAACAGAGCACATTGGGGCGAAAGTCATTACGCAAGGATAGCAGAAATAAATTATTCAGTCATATTAGAAGCACTCACTACAAAGAGAAATAAGCACACTCTTATGGGCGGTATATGTTTATATTCTAAAGACTGGGACAATAGCATTCGGGCTAGTCCGTCAAATAATTATGTGGGCGGTATGTCTTCATATTGTGAAAACTGGGATGATTATACTCCGGGCCGCTGTCGTTCAAATAAGTATGCGGGCGGTATGCCTTAAAAGTGTAAACGCTTCTGCCATTAGTTTTTGGACCGCTGTCGTTCCAGTAAGTATGGGGGCAATATGTTTTGATCCTGTAAAGCTGATGCCGAGTCATGTCGAACGAAGAACGACTGCAGAGCACAAGCCTAGTGGCCCATTTTCCACCAAGTGCACCTACGAGAATCTGCAGCACAGAATGCGCGAGCTTCTTTCACTGGGCACTGTCAAAGCCGTAGCTTGCCACAAACTCGCTGTAGTTGTACACCAGCTCGTTGGTGGGGATTCAAGAGCTCCAAAGCTGGCTCGCTGTCGTAATTGCCGCAAAGTTCGTACGTTGTGCTCTGATATAGGGGGTGCACCTTAATATTCAAATGTGTCATTCAGTGAGGGTCATTACTACTTAGCTACCATAATATCAAAGCCTTCAAAAGAAATCTGGTAAATCTGGTGAAATTTGTTGGTAGATATATGCGTCGCTGTTGCTGAAGTCAATTGAGTAGTGTTTGTTTAAACTTCATCATTTAAGAAAAATGACCTCCCTTCTTTGCACCCTAAATTGGAAAAAAAGAAGTGTAGAAACAATGATCTATCGCAACTAGGAAGAAGAAGAAAACTTACAAAATTAATACAGACCACTCAGAATAACACTGTGAAACGTACTTTATTGCGTAAAATGTCGGCCGTCGCCTCAGCGCGCGTATATACGCGTGGTGGCGGTTGACTTGGTTATTGCCTAATCGACTACTTCTCGTATGGGACGCACTTCTCGGGAACGCGGACTTGCTCGACGTGGGGCGTGGTCTCCAGATCGATGGGCAGCTTGCCCACGTTGCCAAGCTTGCGGACCTTCTTGGTCAGCTCCTTGGCCATGGAACTGCTGCGGTCCAAGCAAACAAATGGCACACTCAGCTGGACGCTTCCCTTTCCCTTCTTGCAGCCGGGCTTGCAGGACGGCACGGGCACCTGGCTGTAGCAGATCATGCCCTCGTGGTCGCGCATGATGGTGCGTTCCTGGAAGCACTTGCTCTCTGCAGATGACACAAGAACAAAAATATAAATAATTAGGTTAGACTGAACGCCCCGCAAAAAAACCTCATTTATAGGCGTCGGCATCTCACTCTTCTGAACACCCGTAAATAACTCATGTTATTTCTTTCCAAACAGGACTGACAATTCGTAAGCAAATCGTGAGCGGGATAGCACGCTTCACTATTAAAAGTCATATAGTATTCTTTGACGATAATAAGCCCGGTAGAAGGGAAACAAAGGACAAGGAGGACAAGGACAAACATTTGTCCCCATTTTTACCCTTCTCCACAGATTATTGTAAGCCTTCTTGTCCAGCTCGCTTGCACTTTTGAATTAATCGCATTATCATCATATTATTCACTGTTGTAAATAGGATAGACCATTCTGTATTTAAAGAAATGTTCGAATACCCACAGAGCAGGTGCGTGTAGACGTATGCATAGATAATCTGTACAAAGGAAAGTTAACTTCTGCTTGCATAAGTGATGCCTCCCTCCCGCTTAATTCGGTTCGAGACGTTCTTCAGAATAAGACAGAAATCATGAAGCGCCTTACCTTCAGTATCCTCGTAGTATTGCTTCATCATCTGACCCGACTTCAACTCCTCCGAAATTTCGGAGCGCTGGAGGTCCTCACTGGGGTAACGAGGAGTGAAAGGCGTGGCGTAGTGGTGCTGCTTGGAGTGGTGGTGGCGAGGAGTGAACGGGGTAGCGTACGGGTACGGTGTAGAGTGGTGGTAGCGGGGAGTGAAGGGAGTGGCACCAAGCTCCTCGTCGGATTCATAGTGACGTGGAGTGAAGGGAGTGGCGCGGTGGTAACGGGGAGTGAAAGGCGTAGCTTTGTAGTGGTGGTAGCGGGGAGTGAATGGAGTTGCACCGAGTTCCTCTTCGGATTCGTAGTGACGAGGAGTAAAGGGAGTGGCGTGGTGGTACCGGGGAGTGAAAGGCGTAGCTTTGTAGTGGTGGTAGCGAGGAGTAAAGGGAGTCGCACCGAGCTCCTCTTCGGATTCGTAGTGACGAGGAGTGAAAGGAGTTGCGTGGTGGTAACGGGGAGTGAAAGGCGTAGCTCTGTAGTGGTGGTAGCGGGGAGTGAAGGGAGTCGCACCGAGCTCCTCTTCGGATTCGTAATGACGAGGAGTGAAAGGAGTGGCGTGGTGGTAACGGGGAGTGAAAGGCGTAGCTTTGTAGTGGTGATAGCGGGGAGTAAAGGGAGTGGCACGGAGGTCCTCTTCAGATTCGTAGTAAAGGGGAGTGAATTTCTTCGCCTGGTGGTGGTATCGTGGAGTGAAGGGAGTTGCTTTGTAGTGGTGGTAGCGCGGAGTAAAGGGGGTGGCACGGAGTTCCTCTTCGGATTCGTAGTGACGAGGGGTAAAAGGGGTGGCGGCGTAGTTGTACTTCGTGGAACCGTAGTGACGAGGAGTGAAGGGAGTTGCGCGACGGTACTCCTCAGACTCGTAATATTCTGGAGTAGCGTAGTGGTGGTGCTTAGAATGCTCGTAGTGGCGTGGGGTGAACGGGGTAGCGTAGTGGTACTGCGTAGAGTGATGGTGGTAACGCGGGGTGAACGGTGTGGCGTAAGGGTACGGCGTAGTCTTGTGGTGCTGTGGGTACTTGTGGTGAGGCAGCAGGTGTTCTGGGTGGAACCAGGGCAGGACTCCGTCTTTGACTTCGTCACTGTTTTCCTCTGGCAGCTCGTGGTGGTGGTGTTGGTGGTGGCCCATGACGTTGAACCAGGAGCGACCAAGGTGCGCAGGGCGGGCGGCCCAGGTGGCGAGGAACGCTCCCTTGAGCACCTGCAGCTGGCTCAGGGTGCTCAGGACAGAAGGCACGACCTCGTGGCACTGGGCGCCGCCAAAGCCGTAGCTGGCCACGAACTCGCTGTAGTTGGACACCAGCTCGTTGGTGGGTGTGAAGAACTCAAAGGCTGGTTCGTTGTCGTAGTTGCCGCAAAGACCGCACGTCTTGCTCTGGTACAGAGGATGCACCTGGAATTGAAACGTGGGGTGTGACCATCGGCAGTGTAGCCACTCTTTCGTTCCCGACAGCTGACATCAGTGAACGTAAAAAAATATATCAGCGCATCAAATAAAACTTCCAGCTTAATGACAGATAATAACTACACATCAATGTGGAGCGTTCCGTGTTCGTGTCGTCTATAAGGTATAGTAAATATAAAAAATACGCAACCTTGATGATTTGAAAAAAACTTGTTTATTGTGAAACTTTTTCAATGCAGCCACCACATCTAGATTCAAAGGTTGCAACGGCAGAGGCGCGCCCGGGAACCGTTCAATGTTCTCGAGAGCGACTGCTGCGTTGCATACAATAACTTTTACATCTTTGATACTATTGTGAGTCGTGAACAGCTTGCCCCCGTGAGGCGCGCTTTGTATCCTATAAATCATTTCCTAGGTCATACGATCACAGTAACGCAGGCAAGTAAACTAATCCACTGTAGGGTACTGCTATCAACATTTCAGCAACAAATTACAAAGCTTGGCAGATGCGGTATCTGTTCGACACCAACGTTCTCGGACACTTTCTTATGCCGGTAGCACCAGTTGTCCACTGCAGTTGGTGCGAGGCAGCATTCTAATATCCGATACAAAAAACAATGTCCTTATTTCTACTATCCTACCCCTCACTCCTACATGTTGCTTTATTAACATCTTTATCGCGACGAAATTGGAGAATTCTTACATCAATGTATGCCTCAATTTTGAGCCCGTTTAAGCGGAACTTAAATTTGTTAATTAATAAAAATTCCTGTATAAGTTGAAAGTAGCCAGCCCAGCCTGAAGGGCCTATCTGGGCACACAGGGAATAACTACTGGCTATTGACCTCCATTATACTGATCTGCGTTTTACGCGCTAAATAGGGAGATATAATTGTATATATATATATTTGTGAATAACAATTAAAAGTTGAGAACACACTAAAAACTGCTTACGTGTAAGAATGCGAAAGCATTCGATGCGCATCCCTACAAGCTGCGCGCCACGTCTTCCTTTCCCACACTGCGCTCCGGCGGTGACGTCACGCTCCCCGACTGCGCATGCGCGCCACCCCCCTCGGCTCAACAGCTTCCGTGACCAAGCATCTGCGTTGCTGTGTTTTTCTTTGTGTTTTACTTTTTTTTTTCTGATGCGTGCCCGCTTTCACATTTAGTGGCCCGGGCGGCTTCCGTGACGAAGCATCTGATATGACGCGTCGCAGCCAATGGGAATTTCTGCCTCAATTCGCTGCATGGGCTTCGCTCCGTGGGACAGGGGAATTTAGGGGCTGTCAATTTAGGTGCCGTTTGGGGCGGCTTCAACGCCGGTTCGCTCCATGGGACAGTTAATGCTTTCGCAATAATAATAGGCGAATGCAAACTCAAGGATAGAACAAAAGGTTCCGTCATCCCATATCTCCAGACAATATTGCTCCGAAATGTATTGTCATGCGCTTTGGTTCCATTCCATTAGTAGGCCCGTAAGGACAGCATATGCAGGAATCTGATTGTCGCTGTCCCTTTTGTGGAATATCGTCTAGTCTGTCGTTCACACACATCGTCGGGGATTTTAGTTAGCTTTTGCTTTTATTTGACTAAATATCCTGTGCGAAATCGTGTTGCGAAATTGGCCAATAAGCTAGTTTCTTCAGAGCTTTAATAGGACCTCACTGTAAAAATTCTAACACAAGGAAAGCTCACTTACCGGTGTGTGGATCAGAAGTACAAAGTTGGCCTTTTAGTTTTTACTTGGGCTCGCACCAATGGTGATTGTTTGCGGACATAACTTGGTGTTATATTTTTTACCTTTCTCAGTGTTACTAGAATATGCTCGCAATGATGCTATAGTTAGAAAAGACGGCGATGCTTCGTAAAGTTACGCAGAGTGGAGAGTGGCTAAAATTGGTGTTTCTGCCGTCTATGCGACGTCTATGCTTAGTGACGTCGCAAGGCTGGGCTTGTGGTTTCCGATATAAAACTTTTGCGTAAAAAAACATATTTTAACCTAAAAAAACATGAACGGTAACCAGTCAGAGGCTACTGACGCTTGGGAGATTGAACTTTGAATTTTTAGGAATGCTTTATTTCGCTCCAGTGAATGGCGCACACATTAGGAAGCTCAGCCATGAGCAGGGAGAATTATCTTGAACGCACATTGAATATGCAACGAATATGCTTATCAAAATGCAAACAGTATGCCAAGGAGGCTTTACATATGGACGCGGACGAGTTATTTCAAAATGCAACATGTCGCAATCTTTGCCGCACGAGAGCGTTATTTCAGTTGCAGAAACACCGCGGCCACAAGAGTTTTGTCACGGGATCACGAGCCTTAGTTCCTCTGTGGTGTACAGATGGCAAATGTCAACCATCTGACCTTACAACCACGCTTCTTTTATGCTAGTAGTCAACAGCATTTTGGTGTCGGGTCTCCGGTTCACGCGCGCCCATCTTGGTTCATAATCTACCAGATACAGTTTAATATTTACTTCTATGTGAATATCCCTTTATAGAAATTTCTGTGGCAGAAAATCCGAGGTTGTCCTAGCTTGTTGTCTTACAAGAAGGAAGGCGCGGACAGCAAAGAGAAACAATCGAATTGGTCTAGCGCTACTACGTGCAATGAATCGTGAAGTTAATTTTGCTTAAAAATAGTTGAGCAGTTTTTAATTTTTTTTTCTTTGTGAGTCTAATATAGTTTTACATTGTTCCTATGATTTTTCTAACGACTGATGATGAAACATAATTAAAGATAATAATAATAAACATAAACATTTTAATTGAAAAACTAGATTAGTCGGATTTGTAATAGAGAACGCAATCTGAAAATTGGCAATTTGTATCCGATTTTTATTTGACGCATAAAGTATCTCGCACACATCACTGCTAACGACAATGCAAAAAAAAAAACTATCGCATTAATACGCACGATGATCCATGCAACATACATTTTATTACGATCACACACCGTACACCGCGTCAAAGTCATCGTGTGTGTGTCTGGTCGTCGCGGCGGCGTGGGCGACAGAACCTAAGCACCTAGATCTTGTGGGGCACGCACTTCTCCGGCACGCGAACCTTCTCAACGATGACACTGGTTCCTACGGTGGGCAGCTCGCCAACGTCTCCGGTCTCGCGGACTCTTTGCGTCAGCTCCTTAGCAATGGGACTATCGCGCGGCAGACAGGTGAAGGGCACTTCGAGCTGGGTGCTTCCCTTCGCTTTGCGGCAGTGGGCCTTGCATGTGGGCACAAGGAACTGGCTGTAGCAGATCAGGCTCTTGCGGTCACGCATGATTGTGCGGTTCTGGTAGCACTGTTCAACTGTGGGCGGGGAGAGAGGGAGAGGGGAAACGAGGATTACGGATGGGACTCAAGATATTGTAACTCTATAAGTTAATAGCCTAATTGGTTAAATATTCGTAAAAAAAAGCAGCGCGATAGACAAAGAACTAGTAGAGCAATGAATAGAACAAGTGCTACTCTCAATGAACGTTTTAAAGAGAAATGTTTTTGGTACGCAAGTGCTGGCACGTTTTTGTTGTAGACCGTGTGACTACGTTCCCAAGTGAATCTTTGAAGATGCCGTCACGTAATCTTGTCCCCTTTCGTTATTATCTAAGTTTGTGTTCAATGGATCAGGGTTAGCCATTTATTTCAAGATTACACCGAGTTCATATTTTTCTGCAATGTTTTGCAGTGTTTTTGTTTACGCGATGTTTACAAGTTGACGGTACTATAAAATACGAGAACAATCAATAAGACCAGTGAGGTTAATTTCTTGCTAACTTTGATGTTCGGAAAGAGGCTACTGCTACACCAAAGGCACAATTCGTGTAATCATTACCTATTTTAAGTGTCGTTCACATACATATAGCTAGTTTAAACAATGCATCTAATTTGTCACTATCGTGAAAGAATACACGTTGGTACGAGGCACCTCACAAAAAAGAGCAAGCTGCTTGTGTGGATAGGTCTACACCACTTTGACGAGCAGAAGCGTAACAAAATATATTATTCGCGCTCCTAAGAAATCTACAAGCATAAGAAACGCGTTCTCCTGTACGCATAAAATGTAGTAATAAACAGTATTTTGTGTGCAAGATCTTGGTTTTGTGAATTTATCGCTATCTGCATCAGTGCTCAGTACAAAGTAACACAAGCTATAGTATTTTTTCCAGTTCGCAAGAAACGCAATTAAGACGTAAATGTCCAGTTATGCCTAGTTTTACAGAAAAACCTAGCAAAAGATTATTACAATATTAAAAACAGCCCGAGTGGCGGAGAAAGCAAAGTAAAAGCAGCACACAGTACGGACGCATTTTGTATATTAAGAAGATATATCCTGAACAATATAGCGTTGCACTGACCTGGGAACTGGCGGATCATCGGGCCGGCTTCGATTTGCTTGCTGTCGCGAACCCCCATCTTGGAACCGTATTTTTGGACACCGTCCGTCTCCCAACTCTCTTCCTTGCTCCACTTGTAGTGACCGTGGTTCTCACCGGAATGTGGAGTCACGTAATAGTGTGGCACATACTGGGCGCCATAGGGTGGGGAGGTGTGTCCCGGATACGAGGGATAGTGATGCGGTTGCTGGTGATGACCCGGATACGTATGTCCCGGATACGGATGTCCCGGGTAGTGTTGTTCCGGATAGGGATGACCCGGGTAAGGGTGATGAGGGAACTGGTGGTGGGGCGGGTAGGGCTGCTCTGGGTAGAGGTGACCCGGGTGATGGTGATGGGGGTGATGAGGAGGGTAAGAATGTGGCGGGTAGTGGTGTCCCGAGTAAGGGTGATGAGGCGGGTGTGAGTGACCGGGCTGCTGAGGGTGTTGGTGAGGGTGCTTATGACCGTGGAAATGTTGAAGGCTGGGATCCTGGTCTTCGGGCGCCTTGTGGTGCTGGTGGTGATGATCCATTACTGTAGGGTATTTGCGCTCCGGTGGGGCGATGATTTTGATTCCAAGGTTACCGCGAAGGATTTGCTTCTGGAGTGCGACGGCTAGCAGAGAAGGCACGGACTCCTGGCATTGGGAACCTCCAAAACCGTAGCTGGCAACGAACAGGCTGTAGTTGAACACAAGCTCGTTTGCAGGGGTGAAGAACTCGTACGCTGGCTCGTTGTCGTAATTGCCGCAAAGACCGCATGTCTTGCTCTGGTACAGTGGGTGGACCTTGAATTCGAGTGTGCAAAAAAGCAGCGTCATTGGTTATTCGTAACATTGTGAGCTGTCAGAGCCATGACATGTCGCGTCTTCGTATCTAGATTGTAATTAATATAGCCCGTAATAAATTATACTGCAGCATACATATGGCATTATTCTTACAAAGCATATCAAATTATTGACGATGAACGTCAAAATTCGGAGGCCAACTGGTGAATTAATGCTATATATAAATACCCAAGATCGGGAGTATTGTTGGATAGAAGGAGGAGAAAGTTTTTGGAGATGAATAATGGGGTTCAGTGAAATGACATTGTAGTGAGGGTTTATTCCTTTGTTGCCCATGCATGTAAATAGGGGTCAATCCGTGGCAGTTGTTTCTTGTTGTGCTCATTGTTACCTTGTCGCGAGTAGGTTGGCAAACTTTGAGGAAGTGGTTGAATGTATAAAAAAGAGGATATAAAACAATATCCGTTGCCGTGTTTTAGGACGGTATGTTTGTTGTCCGTTATTTATTCCGATTCTCGGGTCTTTCCGTGTGAATATCAATTTTTGTTTGTTTCTCAGCTGTCTAAGACATTACTGCATGCGTCAGTGCATGCATCAAGGGTCCCAAAGGTAGCGTCCGCTTGACTGCTTTAATATTTGCGGTCAGTCTACATCTTACCATTAAGCGAAAGCATGCAAGCCTTAGATTTATACCAATAAGTAACAGCAGCATATCTGATCAGGTATTTTCATACGTTTGATTATGGTTTGTGTAACTTTTCACATAAAATCAAGAAACATATTTCCCTGCGCAACTCTTGGCTTTGTACAACGGAATATGTACAAAACCATCTTCCTTGTAGGAATGTGGTAACGGTCTGCTTTATTAATTAGACGATTCCTACACATTACTTTGCCAAATTCTGTCTGTGCGTGATGCAGATCATTAACTTTTGTAGCCCGTTCCAGTCTTCAAGGAGAGGATTACTTACTACGTACTTCTGCGCTCCGCCACGAGTTACAGTAGAATCTGCTTTGGCGTTGCCGCGTGTACAACTCGGCTATCAGAATGGCCGCACCTCTCTAGATACTCACCCAGACGTAGGCGTTCACTCCGTCGAACACAACCTTGAAGGTCCTCAGGGTGTTGGTCAGCTGGACCACAGGAGGGTCGTGGGGTCCGCTCGTCGGGTACACGGTAATGAAAAGCTTGTGGTAGGCCTTGTAGGGCAGCACGACGTCCTTGTACTCGGTGGCCACGTACGTGGTGCCGTTGACGGTCAGGACAACCTCGGCCTTGTACAGGTCGGGCGGTGGGAGCACAACAACGGTGTCAAACAGTTGCAGGGTCAGTTTCTGCAAGAAAAAAGGAAAAAAAAAACGCCATTGTAGTCACTGACAGAATTGGAACGGCAGGACGTGTCTTTCGAACGCCCAGCCACTAGCACACCCTTCATGCCTCCAGCCGTGGTGTGGCAGCGCGCGCGGGCTCGAGGTGCACGAGGCGTTAATATGTTGTCGAAGGAATGAAGCCTGCCGTTGTCACTTTGTCAGTGACATATGTAGCTTACGGCACTAAAGCCGATCAATTCAAGGGTATACATTTACCGCACATATGACAGGATGTATATTAAACAAGGCACTTTGTGAACTGTTCCTGCGTTGACATATCTTTAACTCATATATTATTGGTTTATGCTTACATTGTCAAGACAACAACGAATACTTGATTTAGAGGACTCATGATTTACATCATAAGACGCCGGTTATACCGACACATCAAATTTACTTCCGTCAAAAATTAATCGAGAATCGGCGAACCACTGTATGCTACAAAAGTGGCCAAAAGTAATATCTTAATTCATAAATAGTGTTTCAGATCTGGAGTCATGTTCGATACATATTGTGTGTTATTTATTCACATCTTCCTGGACGACTTTCAGACAGCGACTCTAGGACCTTTTGTTGTAAGTCCGTGAAAGGGCTCATGTTGAACTATATTAAAGTCCAACCGTATCTTTGCTATATTCAAAGTAATCGCAAAAATACTAAAATTTCTTGTTCTAGACTTACTGTAGTTCAGCTAGATCTAGAAAAACCGCTATTAACGATTACGAGAGGCTGGACAACGGTTCAGTCGCTCTCAAAAAAGTCACGGCGGCGAGAATGTTTTCTTTTCTGTGCTTGCAAGACCATGTTTATGAGTTCTGATTGTACCGCACCTTGGTGCCGACTTCGAGGTCCAGGGGTTCAAGGACGACCGAGAAGTCGCTCCTGGTTGTGCAGTCTCCAGTAAGCAGGTACTTGCACTCGTCCTTCAGCTCAAGAGGGTAGCTCACGTTGTCGTACGTGCGCAGGTAGTTCTTGCCAACGCCGCAGGGCACTTAAAGGTAAGGAGTGGGATCAGGTTCACGGCAGGTAAAAACTTGACTTTTATATTTCTTGAACAACGGAACTGACTGTTCTTGCTAGCTGAATAATTCGGCGGCTAGGGCGTTAGTCGCACATGTTTTTGTTTTTTCTGCCCTCGTTTTTTTTTTAAATATTTTTCCCGCAGTTCCAAGTGGTACGGAAAGTTTAGGCGAGTATTCTCATTTTTGCTCATACATTTCTAGGGACGAAGGCGCCAGCGACGTAAGGTTTTTATGTTCTCAGAAAAGAAGCTTCCCAAGCGATTTTAGCAAACGAGATTAACAATACTGCGGTTGCTTTAATTTTTGCAGTATTGATTTTCTACAATTATAAATATTAATCTGCAGAGGTGTGACTAATAAAGTGCAAGCGATTGTTTCTAATTTTTTTTAGAAAGAAGTAAAAATAATCAAGAACTCTGAACTGAATAAATTCCTACTCTTCGAGATTCAAAACCATTACTACAGATCTTGATGCGTACTGGGTACTCTAAAGGAAATCTTGTATAGTTTAATATGTAAAGAAGCACGCTCGAAACTTAATTGTACATTTAGGTAAATAGACAGACAGTGCACAGACTCAAGGGCTACATGCGAAATCAAGGTTTGGACACCTGCTTGACTTGGAGATACAAAGAAAGCTGGTATACACTCGAGGGCATTACAGTGTACTCACAGTAAGGGAAGCCGTTGTAGTGGGAATGCAGGAAACGGTCATAGCCGGACAGCAGCAGGTTGGGCGAGTAGAACTCGGAAACCTTGAGGTTCTTGACGGTGAGCTTCTCTCCTGGCAGGACGACAACTCCGGAGCCGACGGTCACGAAGGGGTTGACGTGGCTCTTGTTGAAGTAGAGGGTGAACTCGGGCTCGACCTGGTGTGTCAAGTGAGGCAAGGCTTGGAAGGTGACGTAGGGGAACAGCTTGTACTTCAGGTAGTTGAGGGATTTGAAGGCGTACTTCTTCAGGACAAGATCCTCCTGTTGGGCGGGAAATATGAATAAAACATTAACCGATATTGATGAATGCGGTTCATCGTAAAGATTCCCCAAAATACAAAATTTTGTGATCTTGATCAGGGCCACTTAAGATGGATACTACGATATGCACATTGAAGTTTACCTATCTTCAGAGGGCAAGGGGATGGCAGAGAAGTGTCGCTCGTCAAATATTGAGTTCTCATACGCATCCCTGTTGGCTAGCCTTAACTTATTATTGAATTTCGTAGGGGTATATAAGTATTATGTCCGAGCCTCACCCATAACGTAAGCTAAATAGCAGCGTTTTTTGAAAGTGTGCTTAATATTCTGTCGCATAGGTCGTGCTGATAAAATAAATGTGCTTCGGCACTGCACAAAAGGCTATACACGCTACAACCACAAGATCGATAGAATATGTTCAACGTATATACCACTTTTTACAATCGCCAGCATTTGCTTCATACTCGGACTTAAATCAAATCACGCCTTAAAATGTACTAGGGACGTCTCGAAAGGCTCTCGTGCATCCATGGCCTCTCTTCAGACGCCTCGGCGTGCTGCCTCGAAACAAAGCAATCACATAACGGTCCTGAGATAGCTTTCCTAATGACGGAACCTCTCCAACGTATGTCATCTACTTACGGCAAAGTGCTGGGGCACCTTAACGTGAACCACTTGGTGGTTGAGGTGGGCGTCGAAGGTGGTTGCCAGACGGCAAGCGTAGCTGACCGCGAATCCGTTGTGCTGGTCTTCAAGACACTGGGGCACGAACCACTTCAGGAGAGGTGCGCCATCGTATCCGTGGACGCCAAGGACTTGCTCCTCAGTCTTGGTGGCATTGTACTGCAGCGGCGACAAGGACACAGTAACATACTAGGTTAAATATTTGGACATCTATCGATTACGCCACTAATTGTGGTCACTCGTGGTCAGAGGACCACGAGTAACGGCAGGTGTTGTGAGAAAATATCAAGCCCTCCCTGTTCATGGAAGCGAATGCATTGATGAAAAACTTACGGTGACTACGATGGGCTTGGTGAGGTCGTCTCCGTAACGGATGTAGAGGGTGGCGTTAGCGACGTCCTTTCCGAGGAAGGAAGGCACATAGTAGAAGGGGCTTGGCACGACGGGGTGAGTCACGTTCAGGAAAAGAGACAACTGGAAAGGCAAACGAGCATTAGCTACAATGATTTAATTCTTCAGCTGTTCGTTTGAGTGAGGTAGCGCTATTGTATATCAATAATGCAAAACTTGCATTTTCGGTTGCGAAGTTGATAAAAATTTATAAGTTCGCTTTCAGTGCCGTATATTCGTAGTATACTTATCAGTTATGCTTTTAGGATGTATCTTGTATAACATTACCTCCGCAGTATTTCTTTAAGCTTAAAAAATATCCTTCAAATCTGAACAACATATGCTTCTGCGTAAACTTGCCCAGAGTACGTCTTTCAATGTTCTATGCTTTCTAACGCCTATTTTTTGTTATTTGGTGGCTTTCACAATTTTCAAACATTATTAATGAATGAGACTAGACAAGATGAACCGAAAATTGTCATAAATGATATGGGTTGACATTTTTTTTGTGCCATGTGCTCGCACGCAAGTCTAAAATTATAGATCGAACCGCACGTTGGCTAAAGTTACAGCAGTGGTAAACTGAGCAGTCATGGGGTCAATTTCGCAATATTAAGTAATTGGTTGGGGATTATATTTAGAATGTGGCACCAGGATCACAAACTACTTTCTTCCGAATATTTTGGAGTTAATCCTATCTAACACTTTTGTCTAACAGAAGTGTGCTTAATTGAGCCAACATACCTTTGGAAGGAAAGTGGTCTCCACATCGAGGTAGAGCTTCCTGGACGACTTGTCTAGGGTGCGAAGGCCAACGTAGTTGAGCTGGACTCCCTTCTTGACGGCTCCACCGTCCTTGCCCTCCAAGGTAACCGTAAGAGCGTGCTTGGTGTGTGTCTTGTTCAAGAACGTTGGCACGGTCCACTTGTACTGGGTACGATGCGTCTTGGGTGTCTTGTGATGCGACTTGTGGTGCGTGTGGTGGCGCGTGTGGTGGTGGGTGTGGTGAGCCTTGCGGACCTTGGAAAGAATCGGCATTCCAGAGATTTCTTCGTAATCCTCAATGGCTTCCACGTACTGAGCCGGGAACTCCCAGTGATGCTCTTCCTCCTCGTGGTGCTCTTGCTCATGGTGGTGCTTCTTGCCATGGAAGGGGTTAACCCTAGCAAACCAGCTGGCCTCCTTGGCGGCGTTCACCTCTGGGTACAGGCCTTCTTCCTGGTGCAATGTCGCCTCAACCAGTTCCTTGAGGTTGTTCTGGTACTTAAAGGTGGCGGTCCACTGGAAACATAAAGCGATTCATTGAATTACCGCTGCAATATCTAACCTTATGACCATCAAGCATGGACCTCAGCTTTTAAGTTCACCAAACATACCTCAGTCACGGGGTCAGCAGCGTATGGCTTCACGTCAACGCTGAGGACGGTGTGCTTGTAGGTCTTGCTTGAGATCCATTGCAGCAGGGCGTCCAGACGAGTGGTACCTTCTGGAAGAACCTTGTAGAGCGGCGGCTTGGACCACGGCTGGTGGCTCACAGCGCTCACATCCACGTTCAGAAACTCGCCGCCGTAGGTCTTCTCGTACTGCAAACAGGATGATAACTAGTTGGCTAATTTTGGGAAATACACCCAGATTTAGAACAGAAAATAACCTGTTGTGTCAATTAAAAAAGTTCCTATAATTAGGTGGCCACTCACGATTCGGATCGTGACATTGATCTGTTAATTTTGTAATCAATTACTGTTTTTGCTTTATATTAATTAAGTGGAATTTTTCATCGTGCCTACTTAGTTGACATAGCTGCTCCACTTGTAGAAAACCTACAGAGTGTCAAATAGGTCATCGTGCAGTAGCCTGCCTGCCTGCTCTTCAGTAAACCTGAGAGGTTTACAGAACGGATAACAGGAAATAAGAACTACCAAAATTGAGCTGCGAAACATGAGCAGTCAACTAGAGTCGTGGTGTGCAAACGCGCAAAGTCGGCGTAAGTGCGGAGTTTATCACGGGGACTCCATATTTAAGCGACCAAGAAATACAAGAGTTCATTTTGAAGGCTACTCGTATGACGATGTTAGCTTCCTCTGCTACTTCCACCTTTCCAGCGTTGCTCATTTTATTTATGAATTTCTACTGCATTGATAAAGCAATATTGCACCAATCCTACGTTTCACTGTGGCTATAAAATAGGAGTGTAAGGAGGATCGGGTACGCACGGTGTAGGGCACGGCCATGCTCTTGATGCACTTGCTGTATTCCAGGAAAGGAGTGGTCAGAGGCTCGAAGATCTTGTTGGTGGTCAAGACGTGCTCCGTGCACTTGGCGCTGAGGAACACGCGTCCGTAGTGGGGCTTGACAGACACCTGCAACTGCTGGGCGTCTTCCTTGCTGTACTCCACTTCCACGGTGTGCTTAAAGTTGAGCTCCTTGGTGTCGGTCAGGACGACGGTGGGAGACGGCGTACCGACGAGGTCGGACACGAACACGCGGACCTGGTTCGTGGTGAAGAGGCTGCGAGAGTAAGGCGTGGACGTTTTTTGGTATGCTAGATAATGTAAGGGCAACGCCATTGATAGCTCCCTTGGCTATGGGCCATCGCGAAAAATTACGAGGTTGTTTTTTCTTTAACGTTCACCCAATCACACGTCATTGGGGTGTGATCAGATGAGCTCTTAGTCTTCAGGTGTAAATGAGGCAGCGCCTATGACTGCAACTGTGTTTTGGCAGACGTAACAACAATTAGAAATTCTCGGCTGCTTAAATATGCCAGCACTCGCATATATATGGCATATGCTCTGCTTAGAGGTGCCTTTCTCCAAACTTTAGCGAGTACGTAGGAGCACGATACACGCCAGCTGCTTCGCGTCCTGATATTTTCCGTTTTAGCTTTCTTGCGTTTTTTTGTGCTTCTTTTTCCAGCGGTGGTGTGTCTAGTTTAGGAGCTTGTAATACGTTTTAGAGTACGAATTCATTAAGAAAACGGCGCTTCAACAAAAAAACAAATATCGCGCACTTACAAACAAAGGGACATTGTGGTTTTATTACACAAAATAAACTACCGAAACATGTTGTTTGTTTGTTTAAACCATTAAATAAAAAAACCACACCCTAAAAATTGCCCACTTTATATTTTGCTTCCTTTGATCACTTTACCACAAGAAAGGCGTAGATTCGGGATTCTCTGGCACTCCATCATACTTTTACACACAGAGGGACGTGCTTCCAATAAACAAAATTATCCGTGTTATAAATGGTGCAGGTACAAATCATACTCTTATCATCGCCGGTTCTTTTTCTCGAAGCGAGGCGCAAACTAGGCTTACCTCGGGTGAACGGTTCCGGTGAACTTGGCGCTGACTGGGAGGAGGCTTCCCGGAGCGGTCTGCAGGCTGAGGGCAAGCTTGTCGAGCTTGAGCGACAGCAGGACTGGGTGCTGGATGGTGTGCACGACGGGCAGACCCACGGGGCTGGGCTCGACATGGTACAGCTGCTTGGGCAGCACCAAGCGCACGAAGTGGTAGGTGAGACCCTCCTGGCCGACCTTGTGAACCAGCTCAAGAACTGCGGTCCGGGAAAAGACGAACCGAAATATTGACACGGTGTTGCGTACGCTGTCGTTTCGTTCCTGGATCTACAGTCAACAGAGAGTTGTAAAGTAGGGGAGCCTAAACGCTTTGCGTACTCCAAGCAGCTTGGAGCATCGCACTGCACATTCGCAGTGAAACGACCCGAAGCTTTTTTGGGGAACCCAGAGCCATTCAGGACCCCTATTTTAAAAACTCTCCACTGACAAAGCGCCGTAGCTTGGAGCACGCGAAGCGAAAGTTCGCGCTGCTGAACCCAGAGGTCCTCAATTCGATCCCCGGCGAAGATACTAGGCGCCCACTGAGGCTGACTCACTTTCCGCTCTCTAAACATACCCACTGCACGCAATTTTACACTGATATCTCAAGAGACGCGGGTTCTGCCATGTCCCGAGCATCTCATTATCGGCCCGCGGCCAATAATCTTACGCCGTTATAAAAAAAGAAAAACATAAAAAAAAAACGCCGGGGAACAAATTACGAGCAAGGAGCGCCACCTGTGGCACATCTTGCGTTTCTCCGGTGGTCAGTGATTGTAGCTTCTTTCTGCCTTTTATTATAGAGCCGCGAATAGCTCGGGAATTGTTCTAGTTCTACCAGTGCCTAAGCTTTTCAAAATTGCGTCTTTTCGTAAAAAAAAAACCTGTAGTCGGTGAAAGATTAAGAGTTTCTACTTTAGCAAAGCGAACGCTAAAGAGGATGGCAACCTCCTTTCCAGCATTCGCTCTCCCAAAGTGGAAAGAAATGGGATGAGCTTTTCCTGAATCCCTGAATTATTAAGCTGCCATCGATCAAAGTCTTTTTTAATGAAACAATTTTCTAAATGAGAAAATTTGAAAAAAATAAATATAGTCACTTAAAGGACGACCGAGCAAGGATGAATACGAGCCTATGACTATTAAGAAGAAAGTAATCAACCGCGACTATGCTACCGATTGTCGCTTGGTGTAAAGCGGCGTAATTCCCTCTGTGGACGCAATTGTCATTTCGATAAAGTTACATTATATCCAGGAGTATGGCTGATATCTTCGTTATCTACAGCCAGACGATTACGCGGAAATTTAGAAGCCGTTTATTTTATCCCCGGTCATTTTAAAAGATTCTAGTTTGATTCTTTCATTTTTAATGAAATTAAAATTAAAGTTAAATGAAACTAGCAGCTGTGTGTCCTATCCTGTCCTTTTTTTCTTTGTGTTCTAGTTTAATTCTAAAGCTGAAGCTGATATATTTACATTTTAAAGGGGCTGCGCAGGAATATTCTGATGTAAGGTTTTTCATTTTACACGAGCTTAATGGCAGTACTGGAATCCAAGTTCACTCATACTGAGTACCACTGACCAAGAACCGTATTTGTTAAGGTGTAATTTCAAGGATAAAAGCGGACGTTTGCTATTGCACTCTCCTTCGAAAAACCTAATGGCGCAGTTCGGAATTAATTGATTGCGTCGTATATATGTTTAGACAGCTGGAAGTTAGTCTGCCTCAATGGGCGACCTGTCTCTCAGCTGTAGATGATAAATTTAGCCAGTGCGGTACAACCACTCGTAGAACCTGAGGTCTGTAACATGCAAGAAGCTGCGGTGATACGCGGCCGCATGCCAGTAGGATGCTGCTCCCCATCGAAACGGTCAGGTCGGGGATTGAACTCGTAGCTCGGTGTCGCGGCGTTGCCGCAGTTTCCCGAGTGGCAATGTTAGAACGCAGTTCGTAAATTAAACCCGAGCATTGAGTAAGAACTCGATTTGGGTTCGTGATAATCAGTAGCTCCACAAGCATTCTTGCAGCAGATTGTGTCCAATCGCTCCAATGACGCTTTAGCCGAACCCTAGCGATGTCTGAAACTCAGTGCGTGCCCCGTGTTTTGCCAACCCAAACACGTGGTTATGATAAACATGGGCGGCACATAATCGACTCCATATAACGTGGCCGCTTTGTCTGGTTTCGAGTTGGGGGGGGGGGGGGGGGGCGATTTATTATGATCGGTACTAGCGCAATGTTGAACCGCGCTTTGGGCTTGTTTTGGACGCTGACTTTCGAGAACGATTAACTCGGACACTCACGCTCCTTCTGCAACTCGTGGAAGAGCTCTTCGTCGACTGGGAGGACAGCCTCGCCGGTCAGGAACTGCCAGAGCAGGACGGCCTTGGGGGTCTCCACCTTGCGTGGCTCCACGTTCAGCTGCAATTGCGAGGCAAAAAAAAAGGCCCATCGGTTACTAAGTTCGAAGCTCTTGATTGATTATCGACAATGCTGTTTGATGGGAATCTCCAGACAGATCGCTTCATAACCGTAAGAACGCATGCGTTACTGAGACGTGAAAGCGGAGATGGGTACATGACGATATTGTGGTGCTTTACAATTTTAAAAATGAAATGCGTCGCCTTGATCTTTAAGCAGCGGAAGGTCAGCCTAGTTTGATGTACTATCAACTTGTGAATACGCTGTCGATGGGTGATTTGCCTAGTTCAGCACGATTTCCATCCCTGTAAGTATAACGCACTCCACACCGTAGTGATTACAGGAATGCAGGGCGGTACACTGTTCCTTCGTGCCCGTCAGGAGTCGTAGTAAGACTATATTTCTCTTTGCCTTAAGTTCGAACGCAGTCAGCGCTACGAGAATATAGGACCCGTCAAACAGCGTTAAAAAAGCGAAATACCGGACCTTCCTTGTACATGATTCTTTCAGGGATGAAAGAACACCATGTTTATATGTTTTCGACACTGTTTGATTGGCCCCATCAGCTCGTTGCGTTAGCTGCGTTCGGACTTAAGTCGAAACAAAGAATGGCGGTGTTTTTTGTTCTAAATATTTGTTTGATTGGTACGTTACCTCCTTGAAAAGACTGGTCTCGCGGGTGTGGTGTTCGAAGTGCCTGGGGGAGGTGTCCAACTCTCCTTGAAGGGCCAGCACCACCTTGGTGAGCAGACCATCATGTCCGAAGACGTCGTCCAAAACCTTCTCGCCTCCCTTCAGCAACAGCTTGCCCTGAAATGACGTCAAACCAGTTGGTCATAACATCAAACAAGTTTAACAAAGAAAAAAAACTGGATTAGCTGCTATGTATTTGCATTAACAAAATTTGAATCTCAATACCGTTTAGACGTAAATAGTTATTTGTTTATTGAAAGTTTGTAAGTATGTCGCATAATTTAATACGAAAATCATTGGACAGCTATTTCCGTTAGGAAGATTTCTGGGGTTTTTAGAAACCAGTATGGTGGCCGAGGATCTAGACATATTTTGCTTACAACACACATAGGATAGGACCGCATACATAAACTATACCTAAATAAATAGTAGCACTGGGAAAAGTATTTTAGAAGAGAATACAAAACACAGCAATCGAACTTTTTTTTACCTATGAGACGCTCCCAGCAAACTGCAATTTCGCATTGATCACCACCGCGTTTTATTGCCGTCTTTATTTTGAATGTTAAGCCAAACAGAATCCTATAGTACTCCCACAGACTGCTTAGATAAAGCGTGGCTTGTTTTAAATACCATTAAAGACAAATATAAATATAAAAATGCGACCAACCGAAAAACACATTTGCTTATAGCATGAAAAGCTAAAGATATAGCTCAAAGTTTCTCTGCACGCGTATTTAAGAGTTAGTGCTCACGTGCGAATCTCACCTATATCCCTCGAACTAATTGACAATTATTTTGCTTATCATGTGACGTTCGTCTTGTGTTCCGCCGCCATGAGATATTAGTCTTGTCTAGACCATTTCAAATAACGCCGTTTATTGCAACGGCGCCGTGCTTACCGAGAGCAGAGTCTTGAAGTAGGGGCCGAGGTTGTACTTGATTCCATGAGAAAGGTAGCTCGGGAAGAACGAGGTGTTGGTGGCAACCTTCTTGAAAAGACTCTCCAGACCGAAGAGGTGCTCGGCTGTACATACAAAAAGCAATAACACCCATGTTACACCTTTCCTGTCTGGACTGGTTTCGTAGCATGTGGTTCTGGGTATAGCACCTATCAGGTTAGGAATTCAGTTTAACGCGACGGCGTTAACGAACTCTCGTTGCAGAAAAGCCGGCCTTGGTGGCGTGACGCAAAATCCTGATTGGTCGATGGGGTCATGACGTCATATCAAACAACTCACAACGCTCACGTGAAACGTGACGTCACGCGTAGAATGAAAGTGATTAAAAAACGACATGTATTGCGAATTAATGGTCGCCGCACGTTAAAAATGATTTTACTTTAAAAAATAATTAATTTGCCCTAAAAACTATTTGAAGAATTTTTGTCAGTACCCGAAACCACAACCCTTCGGTTGCAAGGCACGCTTGCATGGTGAATGAGAAAACTATGCGAAGTGGGCCCGATAACGTTGTCGCGTTCCAGTCTAAAAGGCGAAGCTTAACCGTCCTCCAAGCTTTTTTTCTCTCCTGTACAGACTTTTCAGGTAAAATTTTCCTGAATTTCATTGTGCGCAAGTTTTCCTATGTAGGCTACTGCGCACTTAAGTCTAAACGAATGCTTATTGAATCAGCTTCGAATTTACTTGGCTTATGTATGATAGTGTGATCCACATGTCTTTGCATCGTTAAACTGGTTGTTTTGAAAGAGGAAAATTAGGAGTACTGGTGTGCGTCATTAGAGACACTCTTTCTTAATGTGAGTTATATTTTGAGAGCTTACTCAATAATTTTTTCGGAAGTACTTGTAACAAACACAAATGCTCTTTCCAATTGCAAGTAACTATTATGGTTCATTGTGTATCCAAATCTAACGAATCTTGATGCATCTAGTGTCCTGTACAAGACTTTCGAGGCAAGCATGAGCCTAAAGGAGCAACCGAGAGTGTACTCGAAACACATAATTTCTCAGTAGTGCCAGGTTTCTCGATAGGTTAGGCCAACACTGATCTAGGCAATAGGGCGACCAGCATTTCCCGAAGTTTCGTGCAAGAACCTTATAGGTGTTCACTGGGAAGGCGCCTAACTATGAACGTATATTCATAGTTAGACCTAAACGGTGAATGACTTTTAGTGATTCCTTTCCACGTAAGCGCGGGCTGTATCAGTCTCAACACTTTTGGGGTATTCGCTCATAAAGAAATAATAGACACTGGGTAAATAGAAAGACCATACACAACCGTAAACTGAATCGTTCTCGCACAAAGGCCGCTGCTGACTTACCGTTGTAGTACGTGTGCTTGTACAGGTGAGCGAACCTCAAGCCGAAGTCATGAGGCTTGAGATGGGTGAACACTCCACGAACACGGCTGGCCCTAAGGCAAGAAGTGGAGACACCGATCTTTTACAAACGAAAAATCTTACATTTGCATCTTTCATTCCTCATCGGAGATTTTTTTTTATTTGTGTTACGAGGGCCTCGCAGTGTTCAAGAAACAAAATTTAAACAAAAGTTGACATTTTTTAGTTGATTGAGCAGTAGCATTAAGTGACCTTTGTTAGCCTTGGTGTGAATAGCAAAAAAACCTTTGTGTAGAAATATATTGCCATTAATTACACCGTCTTTTACAGCGTCAGATGCACTGGGCTTGTAGTACTGGGCGACAGTCGTGTTGCTGAAAACGAACGGATCAGGCGCACGCTAGTCGCAGGTGGTTTCGGTGCCAGAAGAGGTCGAGTGCAGCGGGGATACTCTCGCCATTTCGTTGATACTAGTCCCGCTGAAAATCATGAGATCGCGCCTTTCACCGCTAGCTCTATCTCGCCTTCGGTCGCCGCTCCCTCGGCGCTCTAAGCCTTTTCGCGCCGGAACAAGCAGCGGCTGCTCGACGGCGTTAACGCGCCCGTGACAGAGAACGTCGTCGATGTGTAAGTGCCGACGGTCTTACCCTGGGTGTAAGAATGAAACGCGTTCGCGTCAAGATTGCGCTGTGAGTGAAAGTAAAGTGGCCCACAGAAGCGAATGGTTCGAAGCGAGGAAGAGAGGACGCTAGTGCGACCAAGCAATTTTTGCAGCGCGTCTGCAAGAGCGTGTTTGATAGTAGCTGTTCTTTGTGTGGTCGGTTGTGCTATACGCGAGACGCCGCGCGACGCTGCGTCACCGGAATCTCTAGTGAATTACGAAACAATGTCATCGAGATGTCACACCAGTTAACGCTGTCCATTCGCATTACGTCGCGTAAATGTCCGCGCATTTGTTTTTTTTTTTTTTTTTTGTTAACGAGTCTTTATGCATATGGCTGTTTAGCAGACTGATGTCTTTCTACAAGCGCCTCTAGAATTTAAAATTTCAGGAGATGGTGAACCAATATTGATCGTACTGCTACCTCAAAACATGACTTCAAGCGCAAGCGCGCGGCGTGTTACCGTAATGTTCAAGCGATTTTCTAAAGCTGCCTATATTCCGTTCCCCAGTAAGCCGACGGTATGGTGGAAGCTATGTTCTCTTTGGACGAGTCATACGTCTATATTTTGCCACGTGATCACGATCCCGCCCTTACGCACATACGAAGGGCGGGTCAAGTGATGAAAGGAAGGCGGGTGATTGGACCGGCGAGCACGTAGCTTCCACTGCACTGTTAGCTTGGGGATGAAGGAGGAAGACGTGTTAACCTAAACTCGCATGCCTTTACATTAGACCAAAGCGAGCACGCTACTACAGAGCACTACTTACAGAAGGCTGTTGACGGGGCGCTTGTCCTTGACGATGGACTTGAGGGCAGTGTACACGTAGGTTCCGAACTCGAGGCTAAGGTCGGTCTTGGCAGCGAGGACGACTTGCTGCAGGTCCCACTTGGCGGGCACAGTCTTCAGCCAGATGTCAAAGGCCAGAGTCCTCAGGTCGGTCGGTTCGGTGGTGTTCAGCACCAGGGTACGGACGAGCGGGCTCACCTAGACGGTCACAATGCACACGCAAGTCAAGAAATGCCGATGACATTGGGACATCATGGTCGACGTCTTGAACAATGTCCACAGCGGGAATCGTACTCCCCCCCCCCCCCCCCAAAAAAAAAAAATTGGCGGCGTCCATTATTTCTAAAGTTCTAAAATGCGGGGAATGCAGTACTAAAGCGGTAATCGTTTACATTTTGCTGAGAAGACATTTGACAGGCGTTTCGGAGGGTGAAGAAGCTTTTTCTTTATCATATTCCCGTTACATTCAGCTGAAAAATTATCTTCACATGATGCCTGGGCACGTCACGTGGCGTCCCTTTATCCGCGAAATTTAGCGGGAAAACAGAACTGGGTTGTAGGTGAAGTCAGGTCTCTCGCTACATTTGGCGGAATACTGCTTTTCTCTGTTTGTCACGTGACGTCACTTTTTCCCCGCTAGATTTCTCAGGGAAAACCTTGTTGTAGTGGCGTCATGCGATGTTAGTTATCACGCCCAACTTATTGGTGAAATTGAATTTGTGTATACGTCCCGCGTCGTGAATTTCTTCGCTGTATTTAGCGGGAAACCGCACTGAAAGAACGGAAAGACAAATCTCCGTTGAACAGCGCTCCCACTCTTAATACACAGTCTGCTGACGCTGCCTTCAGCGTTCCTTGTGAGACGCTTCTCAGACATATGTCACACAAAAAATGCTTGCAGACATATTCGAAACACGTACGAAGCAACCATTCTTCGAACGTGCTTGTGAATATCATGCCTGCAGCGAACATCGTCTCGTCTGTGTGATGTAGGACCAGTGGGACTGGGAATTTAGGAAACATTCTATGCTCTCAAGACGTTTCTCACCTCCTTCGGGTAGTACTTGACGACGTGATCAAGAGCGAGCAGAGCGGCCTTCTTCACGAAGTAGACGGATTCGAGGTAGTCCTCGTCCTGGCTCACAAGCCTGTACAGGTTCTCGGCGGTGCCGTTCACGTAGGCCAGCAGCACGGGCAGGACCTCGGGCTTGGCGAACTTGCCGAGGCCGTGCAGGTAGGCCACGACCTTCTTGAAGTCGTCAGTCTGCTTCAGTGCCTCGCTGATGGTCTGCACAATAAATAAATGCGCGCGTTAAGCATTAAATCATAGGTCGTCCTTTTTAGTAAGCGTAACCTGTATATTTTTACGTCCAAATTTGATAGAAAGAATAACGTCTTTATAATTTATCTTATGCCGATTGATGAACTGAAGGAAATAATTTGTATTTTACAGTGATTTTCTAGTTCTACTTGAAACTGTTCCAACAGACTTATATCATGGACTTTGGAACTTGACTGTGCATTCGCTTATGTTCGCCCAATTCCTTGTTTGTTTACAGGATTTCCTTAACCGTGCCAGTTTTGTAGCGATAAAACTTACGCATGTCTCAATCAAAGCACTAACATTCAGCAAAGTCTAAACAAACGGTTATTTTCTTATGCACGTTGCATGTAAATACTGAAATGCTAATAATGTACATAATGCTTAATTACTAAGCAACCTAAGACCAATCATTTACATTGTTTTCAGGTTATAGCATAACATGACAATGTAAAATGCCGACTGCAGCTATATTGGCCTAATGATTTTCGTGCTTACCAGAACGTACTGTTTCAGGTCCTGGACAGTGCACTGTGCGCCCACGGGCAGATAAAGCCTGTGAAGCGGAGCATGTTGCTCAACTTCGACCAGGTATCCTTCCTGAAAGATCAAAGTCGCCCGGTTGTAGTTTCAGTGATGGACATCACAAACCGAGCACCCTACACAAACATGAGTACACTTCACGTGAAAGCAATTAAGATAGCGAAAAAAACTAACTTCTGTGAATAAAGCTTTCAGCCGTCATAAAAAGTGAACTCCTAATGAAGTAACAAGTCATCGAAGAAATTCGCGCAGGCTTACGCGGTCATTCAATGCGCCAAAGGACTTCTTGAAAAAAAAAAAAAACCGTTACTACTCAAATTTTTACAACGTGTATTCTACACGAGATTTTTCATCCCTCATTGTCTTTTATAAGTGATTTAGTGGTGGTTTTATGCGTTACTTTACTTTTAATTACAAACAGGGAGGCACAATATGATTTTATTACTCAACATATTTTATTCAAATACATTTCATCACATTAAACTTTCTGCACCATGTCTTTTATCCCACAAAGTGAGGTGTTATAAACCCGCACTATAGAAAGCAGTTACCTTCTTTATTTATTTTTTATTTTTTTAATAAGGCCCTATTTTGTTCATGGAATGAAACAATATACGATACCTCGTACGAGGGGTACTCGACCTCAGATGGGCAGGCCTCGTTGACAAGCTCGCCCAAGGTGTGCAAGAGCGTGGAAAAGACAAGAGGGGGAAGGACTTGGCTCTGGCCCAGGGCGAACTCCTGCAACAAACCACGTTGGAAATTGTTCAGCAATCATTGCTGCTCTACTGTAAACATCATGCAAGATGAAGGCTGCGGCTTCTAAGGATCAAGAAGAGTCCAGAGCTGGGGCATCACATGTCTGCCAGACAACCAGCGCTCGGTTGTATTTTTTTTTATTACCTTTCTTTCCTTCTGTATTCAGCCGGTCTAACCCAAAAAATACATGTGATGCCTCCGCTTACTTCTGTAGGAGCTCATATCATCGCAGAGATATTTTGGTAGCACACGAACTTTTTGGATGCTGTTAGTTACCTTTAAGTGTTATGTTCCTTTATTGTTGCGTTTGAATATTGCATAAAAATAATGTAAAACCAACAACTTAAAGAGTCTGCTGTTGGTCGAATTTTGGTTACCCTACACAAATAAAGGTAGCGCTAAGGGCAAGGGCGATTCGAAGACACAGACACGGCGTTACCTTTATTTGTGTTTTATATAACCAACTAGCCCTGTCATGTGATCTTAGTACAATTTTTTTTTCTATAATGGGCCCTTTTCCGTGTTTCTCTCTGAAACCCATTTCCTTTGATATTGCACTTCTGCTTTATCTTCCTTTGATTTTTATGAAAACCTCAGTTGTGAATAAGCGCTTGTCCGTGTCTGTATCTTCTACTTGCCCTCGTCTTTAGCGCTACCTTTACTTGTGTAATGCATAACCAACGAGCCTGTCATGTGATCCTAGTAAAATTTCTTGGTTACCCTGTCACAGGTCAAGAGACCCGAAATACATATACTTTAGGTCTAGAAGACTGGTGCCCCAAACTGCTTTAAATGTGCTGTCACAGCACATGGGCTACTGAGTCTTGGCGAGACCTACCAGGAACTTCTCGATTGTCTCCTTCTCGGGGTAGGCCTTGAAGGCAGCGACGTCCTGAAGGACACGGGCAGCTTCGTTGCGGGTCAAGAGGTTCTGCTGGAGCAGGTACAAGACAAGGTCCAGGGAAGACTTGGTGCCTGCCTTGCCGATGAGGTCAACCCACAGGGACCTGAGAGACGGCAAAAAGCATGGATTAGTGTCGGTAAATAACCAGGTAAAGTATCGCGTAGATTACTTGTCTGGAATGCATACCCACGTTTGCACAACATTCTCGCTTAATTCTTTTTTAAATATTTTAAACCTTTCTTGCAAGATAACTTGAAGGCAAATACGAGCATAGCTAGGGCCTAACCCTTATTGTCGCAGCAACTTCCTTCTAACCAGACGCTCGGATATTTAGGCTAGCTCGTATTACATATTTTCAACAGGTGGTTAAAGTAGTGAACTTTTAAGAACTCTGAATTTCCTCGTGAAAGTTCTCAAAGCGGAGAAGTTTGTATTCTTACCTCTACAATACAACCAAGACAGCTTGTTTTTTTACACGGTGCAAGGCTTCTAGGCTGATTTTATGACGCACGGTAAATACATAGTTACGCCGGCTACAGTAAAAATAAATATTTTAGTTTGGGAAACAACTTTTCTTAAAATACATATTAGAATTATTAATTTCACGTGAACTAAATGATACCTAAGGCATTGGGTCCAATATCCTTGTTGCTCTCGCCCCTCCGAGATAACTCGAAAACCTAAGTTTAAAGAAGCTTCAAATTCGCATTCAACATTTCGACAAGTGAGGCTTAGCCGAAGTGCCTTTCAGCTTACTTCTTAGGCAAAACGTTTCTTACCGAAATACTGGAAACCATTAGGACAGTCCTGATAAGATTCCTTATGTTGTCGTCTTTTGTTTGGACTTGCCAAAGATGGCAAACTATTTCTAAATCTCCACTTCAATTTCAGTCTTTCTGTGTAATGTGAAGCCAGCCCTCACAATGACAACAAATGAACTTAGTAACCGTTAGGGCGCTTGCGATGTGCTTACCTGTGGACCTGCTCGTGGGGAGCGAGCTCAAGCACGGGCCTCTGCAGGAATTCTGGAACGGTCTGCTTAAGCTGTTCGAGGTTAAGGACGGCAACGGTCTTGACAAGCTGAAGCAAGAGGCCGGGAGTCTGCTTGGGCTCCACAGTCTCATCCTCGACTTCCAGGGAGACAAGTTCGTCGACGACGGTGGTCAAGGCCCTCTGGAAAACTTCAACGGACACTTCTTCGGGCGTTTCCACAAGCAGGCTGTAGACCGGGAGGTCGAAGTGGTGGGCTGTCTCGGGTAGGACAAGTTCAAGAGTCTGATAGGTCTGGACAGGGGTGAACTCTTCGAGCTGAGGTCCATCGACGTGAGCGAGCCATACTTTAAGGAGGGTCTTCACGACGACCTTTCCGGTGAAGACGTTCAGGACGTCCAAACTCTCGGTGTAAGCGCTCTCCAGCACGTTGTCGCTTAGGTTGTAGTAGGACACCTCGTGAGCGGTGACCAGGGTGTCGAACTGCGGTACAAATAAGGTAATATTATTCGTAAGTAAACAAAATAACGCAAGCAGCAAGATGACGATGTTGTCATTATGTTCCACCCATGCAGATTGCAAGAAATTTAAAACCCTTCCTTGTCTTGTTCACGCGCATACTACTGACTGTTTATCAGTCTACACCATTATCGTATACGGTTACTAACTTTACAATATGCGAAAAAAATTTCCAAAAATAAAGTTTACAGAAATAAAGTAATCGAAATGTTCTGTCATATTAGAACTTTCAGAAGTTTGAACTTCTAAACTTGTCAAACGGACTGGTCTATCGAACTTCATAATTATATAATCAGCGAATAAGACAGGCTGAAACAATCTCCAAACCGTTCCTGGAAGTATAAATAGAAATAAAAGATTACTTTGGGATTTACAACATCTGCAGTTTACATATATGAGACAACAATTACTCTAGTAGACCCATTCGGGGCTATTTTACATTTGTATACAACAATAGTCTAGTAATGTTAAAATTTTTGGCAGTTTGAAACATCCTAACCCAAACTTCTGTATCATTCATAACAGTGAAACTAAAACCTCTGAGACGTTCAGCACTATTGAACCATGGAAAATCATGCCTCAACAGCAGTTATAGATGTTCGTCCCCTTTCCAGATCAATCTATGCAGAAGAATACTTATAATCTGCCACACCCGATCTTTCTTTTTTTTCCTCTGTTTGACATCTTGTAAAACCCTATTATATCTCGATTTTTGAAATAGTTTCAACGAATGGGCCCTAACCTGAATGATCTAGCCCTATCTTGCACCAACGCTTCTTCAAAAACTGGCAGGTGTGTCTTAAAAGCATGGGGAACAATTTGTAGCCCCAACTGAGTGCATCGTTACCATGATCCTCACGTTATCGTCCTATCTACGAGAAGTATAGAGGGTTTCTCGGTACATGTTACACGCCATTCCTGCGGCATCGCGGCTTTACGTAGCCGATTAAATATTACCACCAGCGTTACTACAGCTAGTTGCACCTTAATATACTCTGATTAAGCTTCTTCCACAGGGCCCTCCACGTTTTACACTTTAGCAGAGCGAACGCTGTAAAGGTGGAAACCGCCAATCATGGCGGGCTGCGAGATTTGTGGGAGGGGCTTGTCCTGCTCTTCTTAACCTGCAACAGATTATACTGGCAGCGATGGCCTAAAGCATGGCTACGGTATGCGGAGAGCAAGTTGTCTGCTTTCTGCACCGGGGTTGCGGTGGCGTTAGAATGACGCCGATCTCTTATTGGCTGATTGAAAAAAAAGAGTCGGTAGACCTCAACACATCTAGCGTTAAGGTCTACCCGCTATTTTTTCAATCAGCCAATAAGAGCTCGGCGTCATTCTGACGTCACCGCAACTCATGTGCAAGAAGCAGACGACTTGCCCTCCGCATAGGCAACGACAGCCTGAGAAACGTGGGGCTTGTACCAAGAGTCTTGTTATCGCTTGCCATCCAATGAGACCGCGACATTGTCCCAACGCCAAGCAGCGAATCACGAAGCGTGAATCATAAAAGCCAGGCCTTTGTTAAGCTGTCTTCGGCTATAGCGCTTAGGAGACACTCACGGGCTTGTAGCCAACGGGGCATCCGACGGTGGGAGAGGCCTCGTACTCTGCGGTGTCTTCCTGGTATCCCGGCAGGAAGTTGTTCGGGAGGTGCTTGTTGCACAGGGGAGGGTATCCCTGTACCTCGACAGAGTCGACGGTGTAAACGGGACGCGTCTTCTTGCAGTCGTCCAGGTACTTGGTCTTGGTGACGTTCAGGACGTTGACCCCGGTGTAGACGTGAGCGTCCAGGGACTGCAACTCGTAGTTGACGCGGCAGTATCCGCTCACTCCGTCCTAGGTCACAAGAAATAAGTACGCGGAGATATAAGGGAATCCAGCCAAACGCCATTTGAAGAAAAGGGGTGCAGTCGTCTACGAACGTTCGCCCCGGAACGCTTTGTTGCGTCACGTATTGCAATGAGGCTTTTCCCGTAGTTTCGTCATTACCTCATGTGTGCTTGAGTCGTTGCGGACTTGTGCGGTACTCATTACAAGTATTTAAATTACTTGTAATCAATTACTTTTATAAGTAATTCTTGTAACATTCTCATTACGTTTTTTGGGTAGTCATCACGAGAGTACCTTCAATAATTTCAGAAGTAACCATTACTATTTTTTAACCTTTTCCCCTCCCTCCACAGTTTTCGAGTTAGCGACTACTCATACAGTCACCCACTGAAACTGCAGCCAAATGTCCACTTCATTAGTTTCTAAATCATGTGAGCAGCAAAGAATGAAACGATTGTTACCGGACTGCACAAAAATAGCCCAGGCTTTCTGCCTGGTTAGTTTAGGCAGTTGTTTCGTTGACTTTTCAGATAGGGCTGTGAAGTCCGAGTGCTCTTTAAAGGCTTTTCAGAACGAAGCTTGGTAGTTAACGTAGCTTCTGCGTTTTATACATCGTTCAAAAACTCTTCTCATTACCTCACAAGAAAATCTACATTCGGCTTAAAGCATCTCTACACTTTCGTACCCTCACCCTTTCCCCCAACCCACCCCCGATGACCAAACCAGATAATGTAAAAATGCAAAAGCTAAGGTGTGAAACAAAAGCGCAACTTTTTTGGTCACATGTAATGTAAGAGGTCGGCAACACACAAGAATTCATCACTTTCTGAACTCAAGTTTTGAGTGTTTTCTTCGTAAAGTTGCGTGGGGGTGGCACAAGCGAGTGCGAACGTTCCTTGGAGCAACGAAGATAAATCATCTTTGCTTTATTTAGTTGCTGTGACCTAAATTAAGTTCATACAAAGAAGCGTTTTACCTCTAGTTAATAACTGTGCCCTTCGATTCCACAAATGCCCTACCATTGAAACATTAAACCAAGCCCCAAATAGGAAGGTGGTGTAACAAACATTGTGGATTGACACGATCGGTAGCTTGTAATACGGTGATTATAGTCCAGTTATAGCACAAAATGCCCCTTTTTAAACCGGCAGAAAAATATGAAGTTTTGAAAATTTAAAGTAATCAGAAAAGTAAAGATCCCTTTTTCAAGCAATGACCAATTACTTTTCCACTCGCATAACCATGTAATCTAATTGAATACTTTTTCAGCAAGAGTAATAGTAATTTTAATAAATTACTTTTTGTTTGTAACGTGTAGAAGACTGTGTCATTCCCACCAGCCCCCTCTTTCTATCGATGAAGAGGATGTGCCGTGAAAACGCGTAACGTTGCTGACAACCAGTAGCGTCACGGGATCTGGTACGTGACGAAAAAAAAGGTGATGGACATAATTCTTAGCTACGCACGAAAGCTTTCAAAAATCAATTCTCAATTTTTTTTCTTAGAAAGTTTGGTGGCACAATTTGAATTACCCCGCACTATGACAAAATCATAGTGCGGTATATTATCCCGTACTATGACGAAATCACGATACACTCGACAGATGGCGTCGTACCTCGTAGTAGGACACCACGGCGGGCAACTCCTGGAAGGTCTCGGGCTGGCTCTGGAGCAGAGTCAGGACGGCCTTGTACACGTTCAGAGCTCCCTCTCTCACCTCCTGGGCGACGCCGAACTCGACAACCTGCAAAAGAACAAAGATGATTAAGGCGCGTTTGATCGGGTGCGCGAACAAGGAGAACCAAGCTAGTTCAAAAATTCGCGCGTCTATTTCTGTTTGTTGTACTGTTCTCATTAATACGGAATCAAGGTATTGTTGTTTCGGTGTTAAGACTTCATATTTTTAAAAGTAGTTTTTCGTAATTACTAAAATTGGCGTGGGTCGCACTGTGAATCGCTGCAATATTCACTTTAAAAAAATCAAAGTCACCAAAGTTAAGCAGATAACACCGACGTTTACAGTTGTTATGCTGAACGTTTGGTTATAATGTTCCCAAAGTGAACAAAGCCCATAGAATAGCTCAACTTATCTGGATGATGATAACTATATACCAACTTTTCATTGAAGCTGAGACGATTAATTCTAGGAAAGCGGAAAAGACTGCATTAAATCCTCTGGAACGCAGTAGCAATTCTTTTATTCTTGTGCTTTTTGTGCTCTTTGTGGAATTCGGACTGTTACAAGGATACCTTATTTTCATTTTTTTTGCAAGTTTTGCTATAAATGAGCAAACGCGATATTGTAAGGCTTGACTTTTGCACAAACTTTCTTTTTACGTTTGTCTTTAAAAAATAAAAAAATAAACTATTCAGACGGACAAGGGCTTATATTTCCGTTACTAGATGCTCATGTTTGTAGTATTTTAACTTGTTAAACGTTCTTAAACGTTTTTGTTTCTAGACTAACTGAGACAACAAGCCACCATCATCACATTTGCTAAATTACCCAAGCATATTGAACAATTTTGGTTATGTAGGCACACGCCCTACCAGCCTCATCAGTATAAACGATTCGGTATAACTAAACGAATTAAGGCGTGGACGCCGGCAAATGCCAAGATGCATTTGCTTTAGTTTTTCTTTTCTTTTTTTCGCTTTGGAACAGTTACTACTGCAGACGCCAGCACTTTCAGCGCGTATAACTGCGATCGTAGCATGTTTTCTGGTGGTTCGGTAATGTATGTTAACACTACTCCCTGGCATTACTTCTCGCTGTGGTCATTTTGGGGGGTGCTGCAACATACGCAGCATCTACCTTTGCATCTATTATTTTTCCAATTTTTTTTTACTATTGATAGTATGGGGTACAAAAAGCGATGAAACCCGATACAACGGCAAGAGGCCGACGTGTTCTGACGTCAACATGGTGAGCCGTCCTTCATTTGCAGTTCGCAAACAACTCCCCAGAAGTCGCTCGTTACGCAAAAAAAAGGTCTTCACCCTATGCCTACCGAAGACAACATAGATTTAATAAAGTCATTGGGTTTTAGAGACAGCGGAGGAAAAGTGGATTTCAAGACTGTAGAGATTACCAAGCAAAGAATAAGTGAATGGTGGCAGAAAGCGAGAAAAAACTAGGTATTTTCTTATTAACTGATGGCGAGGGGTTTTTGATTCCTCACTTTCTTCGCAGTGCGGAGTGAATATAGATTTCACATTTAAATATTCTAAGCTTAAATGTAAAACAAAATGGCTAGGTGGCGTAAGCTACCGCCCGATCCAGAGGGCTCAGCCGGATTCATCCATCCATCCATCCAGGTCCCCCGAGCAAAAATGTCTACTTGTGACCCGATTCGTCCGACCCTGATTATGCTTGACCTTACCTTGCCCTGTTTGAGCGAGAACCAGACGGGGTACTGGACGTACTGGAAGTAGTCCACCTCCTGGCCGAACAGGCTCGACTCATAGTGGGGCTCGAAGTGGTGCACGTCTCCGAGGACCTTGTCGAACTTCACGAGTGTGAAATTGAGGAACTTGGCGACGTAGTCGGTTTCTGTGAGCTTCTGGACCGCGAGGTCTCCTTCGTAGGTGAGTGCGGGGCCTTCGGTAACATCGAGTTCCAGGGTCTTGAGGGTTACGGTACCATTGACCTTGTAGACGGCGCTGCCGCTGCCACGGGACGTTGGCACGAGTTCTGCAGCACGGAACAGTCATTGAGAAGATTAGTCACAGCTTCGTTTAAGTCGCAGTCGCACCGATCATACATCGTTCAAAAGACAGGGTGTTTGCTACACACATGATGAGAGACTTATCTGTGAGCACGCCTCAAGCGCGTTCAAATCAAATTTGCTTCGCACACATGCGTGCTTCAAAGATATCTGCAGATAGTTTTTTATGGCGAATGTGAGTAGCAAACACCCTGTCAGAGAAGAAAGAAACACGCATGTCGCAGTGTCTGGAGACTGTCTTTTGAATGATGCATTAGCAGCCTGACCGTGGCTGTTAGGTGTAAATACGGCGTCTTTTTTTAGATTTAATCCACAGCTGTCGAGGAGCATAAAAAGGGCGTTCTTGCTTACTAATCCCCAATTTTTTCGGGTTTTTCGTCTGTTTCTTGTGTGCGGTGTAAAACATGGCTTGACATGTTTTTTCAAGATTAATTAAAACATCTTGGTTTTTTCCGCAAAACACAAGGAAAGCAAATTAAAACATCTCTAAAGATTGATCTTTGCGAGTTAGACGGGATTGTTTGTGGCTTGTTTCATTGCCTTTAGTTCAAGCGTGCGTTGAAGAAACAATCAACATGTAAAATGTCTTCAGGTAGAAAGGAGACACATATGAGGACCGACAGTACCTTTATATTTTTAAACATGGACGTAGGATGATAATTTGGCGTGTCCACTTTCAGTTAAAGTTACGTCAAATGTACGGAATTGGTGTTTTTGTATCGATGTTTGCTTTGAAATGAGTTGATGACGTAACAGCGTATTCGTTTCGTTGAAGACATGATATTTTCGCATTAATTGTTACCATAATTTTAGCTTTAGAAATGCAAGTTTTAATTATGTTTGAAAAAGACATATTGATAAAGACTTACCGAACAGGAGCGCATTGGCCGTAGCTGGAGGACATGAAAGGAAACAAATAATACTTATATGGAGCCGTATAAAAAATGACATCATACACGAACATAGACTGATAAGTAATTGATATATAAATGAACGAAAGAATTTATGAGAGAAACTTTTGACAGAAAGAAGAATTTAGATCCTCCTGGGATCTTTGTTCACTAGCTGCAGGGGCTTCGAAAGCCCTTCAAGCTTTATACGATTGTTGTGTTCCCAAGGACTCAAAATCTAGACTTAGCAACAATATCACGAGATAAGTTAGATGACTACACAGACATCGACGATTGAAGTTAATCGAACAACTCGAGTCCTTTTGCGTTTTGTTGTATAGAATATTACGTGACTTCTAAAAAGAGAAAACCGTTTAAAATGCTAAGTGTTCTAAAGAACTTTAAGCTCAAACGATGCACCAACCTCCCGGAAGAGTGTGCAGGCTAACAGGTGGCGGAAAAGAAAACCTTAGGCTTAACAGCGATTACGCGACAGATGATTGACGTCTACAGGAAGAGCGACCATTGATTCTCAGCGAGTAACCCCAGTCATGTTGGGTTTTTTATTGAGTAGAATGTTGCGTTACATTCAAAATTAAATGAAGACGTATCAATTACGAGAAGCGTTGGATTCGAAAGAATCTGGGCCCAAACGCTGTACAACTCTCCCCGTTCACCCTTGGGGCTTGCAGAGGTCTAAACCAATGGTGGTTGTTTAAGTTAAACCTACTCTTGGTTTCTTCTGTGTTTCATCGTCAAAAGCATAAATGATGCCTTATTTCGAAGATTTCGATCTCCAACCATCGCAGCAACATTACCGAAGGCCGACAGCTTCGCGTGCAGCTGTCATCGATATCTGCCGAATTTTTCCAGGGTGAACAACCTACGGTAGCGACCATTCAAGTGAAGCAAGCACCCTATTCCATTACGCATCATCGTTAAGGAAACATTTACGGAAAAACTTTAAGAAGCGAGAGTTGCTTCATTTCCACGATTTTTGTCTGACCATTGAAAGCAGCGTCGCCACAGACGGACGGCTCTGCGGGCAGCTGCCATCCAAGTCTAGCAATATCTCCGGAGGTTAGGTCACCGACGGTGGCGACCGTTCCAGTTAAGCGAGCACTCCATTCTCTTTATGTTTCATCGTCAAACAAACGTAGACGGAACGCGTTCGAGACAGCGTCCATCGGAGTCTAGCGAAGAGGGAAGGCGAGCGGCGGTGGGCTTCCTTACCTGCGACCAGCAGCAGCGGAAGACCGCAGAGGACGCGCATCCTGGATCGAGTGAGCCGGGACGACTGAGCGTGCTGCCTGGACCCAAGCGGGAGCCCCCTTATATAGGAGCGGCTCCCTCCAGTCCGGCTGCTGATACAGGGCTGACACGGCTGCTGTCCACCTCAGCAGCCGAGATTACCGAAGCTGCTGCTCCCTGCGAGCAGGCCGTGCACATCGCCCGCTGCTTGACCGTAAGGGGTTTGCACGGACGCGCTATCCTCACCCGGGGACGAGTGGGCAGTTGGGCTTCTCGTTATTCGAAAAGACGAAGCAAACATTTTATTTTTGTCGAAGGGATTTGGGGCGTATATGCCCGGTGCGACATCTTTGCGAGGATAAACGTGGGTTAATCGATCTTTAGCAAGGTGTGTAGTTTGGAAAGTTGGGGCATTATTAGAATAAATAAAATAACTCGAGAAACTACATGAGGACACTAAGCTGCTTGTGTCTTCAACGTTTCTCGGTGTTTTCTTTTCCGTTATTTTGTTTATTGGGATAAAGGATATTCAAGCTATAATTCTTCGCAAAAAGTTTGAGAGGCGTAGAATTCGTTGAATGTGTTTTAACCTCGCCGATTTTCTGAAACTTGGGACTTTTGGATGTGTTTGGTACCTTTGACTTTTTGAAGATTTTAAATCCTTTTAATCGCTATTGACGTCTCGGACTTTTTGTAACTACCTAATTGTTTGAGTTCATGGGACACACAGAGCGCTTTCTGAGTCTAATTTCACCACTAAATTTAGTGGGAAATTAATGTCGCGAATTTTTTTAATATCAAAGTGTTTTTTGAGCGCTGCTCTAGAGCGCAAGACTAATCTATAAACAAATTGTTCGTTGATATTAACGTGCATCTGTGCGTGAAGCCGCCGTGTAATACTCAGATGCAGGACGTGCACGATGCATGCAATTTTTGTTAAAATCCGGATTACCACGCAGAGATTACGCGCACTAATTTACAGTATAGTTGAAACTACTTCACTATTTTTAAATCTAATCGTGGAACTATAATTGTGGTTCGGTTGCTGTCCAAGGTCACGGACGGCGTTAGAAACGCAGAGCGCGTTGTGTATTCTTGGTTCCCAGCGCAAAAGGTGGCGACACCAGCAGAATGCCGAACGGCGAATCACAAAGCAAGAAAAGTGAACTCAATACTCCGCGCCCTGAATTTCTAAAGCAGTGAGTCACTATGCTAGACTAGCACTAACAACTAGATTTTTTGATAAGACTGCGATGGCGCAGGCGAGCTGGTATAGATTTATTATTTCCTTGAACCACCTGAGACTGGGTGGAGACTGGGTCCCCTACACTTTTGGTTCTCCTAGTTCTCCACCCAGTCTCAGGTACTTCAAGAAAATGTTAGATTTTTCTCTGAATATTTCGCAGTAGATAATGTCAATACATTTAAACATAACTTAGTTCGCGTTTAATACGAAGTTCAAGGGGCAGCGATCTATAATATAGTTTTCACTTTCATCGAGTCAAAGTGTTTGACCCATGTGTCGCTGTGTCTGTTTTCTTCAGACCTCGTCTAGATGTTAACAAGACGCTACGCTTCTCAGAAAGCGCCGGCATGAAACATTGTCACACGCGTTTAAAAGGGTGGCTTTCCCGGAAATAGTTTTTCTGTAAAGTACACATGTGGTTCTTCAAATTTGTTCCAGTGACATAAACTAAAATTGTACATCATGCTTTTGTTTTATTTTTAATTATTGCACCGTAAATGAGCGGAAGAATTACCACATTCGATACGAAAGTGTTTTTAGCTGCTCGTGCAACAACAACACATCAATAGGACCTTTAAAACAGTTTTTTTTTAATTTAAGCCTACGCCATCCTTAATAAAGGCTTGCTTGTAATGGCGGACACCTTCGCAACAGCCTAAACAAGAGAAAAGATACACTCCAAGGAATTTGAAGCGTCTAGTTGCCCCTCAAACACTCACGAGAGCCAATCGTTATAATGAAGAGAGAAACCTCCACAAATTACGAAGCTGAAAATGTTTTTAGGCAGACGTTTTTTTTTTTACGAAGGCTATATCCGCTTATTAAATTAAGACAAAACTCGTTTTCTCACTCAGCCCTTAGAACAGAACAAGTCCGCTTGAATTCTCTGCCCATAGCCAAAGGCGATTCTCTCTTTTCCGGTGCCTCAGTAGCAAGTTTTAGTAGACCGTGTTTCCCCCTCCGCTAAGCCCCTCCGCTACCCGGAACTCTACAGCCAAGGCCATCGGTACGCAGGCGCAGTGGCGGTCTTTTCTCTTTCCAGGCGTTTGATAGGCCACCAGAGCTTTTCCAGGAAGCACATGGCGTCTATTATAGGATGAATGAATGGATGATTGAAACTGGCTTATTTTGGACGGTAGCTTGCGCGAGTAAAGCCGAGAAGCATATACACCTCTCCACTTTAAAATTTGGAAGAAATTTTATTTCTCGTTAAATCATATACCTCACCAGTTTTGCGCATTATCACGATAATCTGCACTTGTTTATTTCAATCTTCAAGCCTATTTTTACTGTGATTTTTATTCCCTCTTCCGTCATCCTCGCCAGCAGAACTTGGCGTTCCCGCCGTGTCGGTTACCCTTAAAGAAACAGTGAAATGAAGAAACAAATTGAAAGGCCTAAATATAAGTTTTTTTGTTAGCTTTTTCACGGTGAACAAATTGTGCATTTTTAACGTTGTTAGACGCAGTTTATATGGTAGGTTACTGCCCGCTCTAAGCCCCACCCAAAGATCAGTGGCAGACTTGTACCGTACGCATTACAAGTAATCAAATTACTTGTAATCGATTACTTTTTGGAGTAATTTTGTAATCAGTTGATTACTTTTCTCAGGCAGTAATCACAAGAGTAATCTGATTATTTTTTGAAGAAATAAAAATTGCTTCTAACCATTACTATTTTTCCACGGAACACCCCCTTTTTTCTAAAATGACAGAAATAAATTTTTTTTTTTTTTTCGAACAGAAAAAAAAAAAAAAGATCTTGGCGAATTCGTAGGAAACGAGGTGAACCCCTTTGCATGTATAGTTTCTGTGGAATATCTTTTTTTTTTTCGAACTGCGATTGGGAAATCCCAAGAAAGCCCCATTGCGTCACAAAGGCTGTTCAGGGCGAAGTTTGAGGGAGCAGAATGTAGCTTTGTAAGTTCTTCGTTCAAAGTAGCCCCCTAGCACACAGACACAGAAATTTAAAAAAAAAAAAAAAAAAACCATCCTGCTTACGGTACTTACACGCAGTCCATAGAGGAACCAGAACCGAAGAACGTCTAAAGCGGATGCAAAATATAACAAACCGAGCTCAAATACACGTCAAGACCCCACTATTTCCCCTGCGTGGTCTTTGTGACAAGCAGGGTCTCGAGTTTGGAGGTATACTAGTTCATTGTTATGAGCTCTAAAGATGGAAGTCTTCACACAATAAAGTAATCGGAAAAGTAACGGTTACTTCTTAAAGTAATGCCCAATTACTTTTGCTGTCGAGTAATCAAGTAGTCTAATCGAATACTTGTTAGCCAAGAGTAATAGTAATTGTAATCGATAACTTTTTTTTTGTAACGCGTACAAGACTGATCAGTGGCCCCGCCTAGAGTCACTAAATGCTTCCAGAGTACCGAATTCCATTCAGTCCACTTACCGGAAGTCAATCCCACAGAATCCAGTTCGGACTGGCTGGTTTAGCACGTGGCGACAGGTGTCAGTCGGCCATTTTTCGGATCGGCCCAAAACAACAACAAAACGCATATAAAACTTTTCCGCGCTACCACGGCTGCCGCGCGTACGCACGAATGGGAGCTCTGGTCATCGATGAGCTAGGACCGAACGGTTAATCCGTTAATTCTCTCTAGGTTTTTTTTTTTTTTAATTATTATTAAGTGCAAGTTAATATGGTTCTCCAAAGGAGATAGCAGGCTCCGGTTGCGCCGGTGCTCCGTTTCAAACTCTACGCCTCAGACGCTAAGCGTAACACTGGACTTCGATATATTTCGAGGTGAGAGAGAGAGAGATACGAGACAGCGATGAGCATGTCACGCACCGCTCGGAAGGAAAGAAATAACTTTAATAAAAACAAACCAGGGCCGCCACGGGCCAGAAATTTGGCTTGAAGAGCTCACGCGAGAAGGAATACCACACTAGCTGCGTTCGATTTACCTGCACCTCCTGCACCAGCGCAGTCAAGTGTAGGCAGTCTACTTCCGGTATGTGTATTTATATACCACTGGAAGTACACCGCCCTGTACTTTCCTGCACCGGTGCAGCAAGTGTGGGTACATTGAACGCAGCTATGTGTACGCGCTTCGCTTCGACCGCACAGGGCAGCGCCATATTGTAGATCGCGATTGCTGCGCCACGACTCGGTTCCGAAACAAAGCTTGGAAGTTTCGGTACTCTGGGAACAATCAGTTACTCTATCCCCACCCACTACTACTGGATTATCTTGGCTGCTCGGCCGAACACGCTTGCAAGCCTAACGTCTCCTAGAGTCACTGGATGTCCCCAGAGTACCGCAACTACGGTCGCTGAAACGCGTCTCCGACTGGTGTGATTCCTGAGTCCAAAAAAGTGGTCCCTCGATTTCCGCCTGATGACGTCATAGAAGTGTCATGCTGTCGCCGGTCGCGACCCTGGTGGTGTCTCAGCAGCTGTGGTGGACGTGGCAGGCGCCTGTTCTGCTGCAGGTCGCTCCCCACTGTGACAGTGCACGGAAGCTACAGCAGCAGGACGTTGGGACGCCTGGGACGCCGTGATGACAGCGACACTCGTGTTGCTTTTCGCCAGCATTTCTACGACCAGCCGCCAGGATCGCAACAGGCTGCAGCATGACACTCCGGCTTCTGTGACATCATTTGTTGGCACTTTGGGACAACTTTTGATATATGGGCGGGATAGGACGCTAAACACACCAGTCGGAGACGCGCTCCAGGCACCATACCGAAACCTCCAAGCTTCGTTACAGAGCCAAGTCGACCGAATCGCGGCGCAGCAGTCGCGATCTCCAACATGGCACTGCCCTATGCGGTGTAAGCGAAGCGTGTAGCGT